GTGGTACCATTTTACCATTTTTCATCAAGGCCGTTACATAATCCAGAGCATGGTTAGTTTCCAACAGATGGAGAGAGGAAGTTACTGCCCACTCATCCCCAAGCAGGTGGGTTTTGGGGGCTTCCAATACCAGCACCTCAGAAGCATGCTTCCTGTCCCCAACTGCCATCAAGTACCTATTACCTGTACTCCCTCTTCTGCCAGTTTCTTACACCAAAAAGGAAGGCCCAGGCCTGCTCTATCTAGGAGAAAGGTGGGGCAGAGTTACTGCCTTTAAAAAGATCCATGATTTTTAGAAGTATTATTTTATATGCTTATATTTAAATATCAAAGCTTTGTAATCGAGCAGCAGTTTTCATAGTGTGACCCTCCTGGCATGAACTTTGATCTTTTCAGGGTGTTCGTGAGGTCAAAACTATTTTCCTAGTTATACTAAAATGGTATTTGCCTTTTTCATCATGTTAACATTGGCACTGATGATGCAAAAGCAATGACGGGTGAAACTGCTGGCTCCTAGTATGAATAAGGGAAGTGTCACCAAACTGTACTGCAAGTCACTGCATTCTTCACTGCTGTGCACTCACAATACGAACAAACCAGCAAATGCCAGTTTCACTTAAGAATATCTTGATGAAGTAACAGAAATTATTTTACTGAATCCCAACCCATGCATACTTTTTTTAGTTATTCTATGGGACAAAATGGGAGGTATACATAAAGTAATTCTGCTATATATGAAGAGCGATAGTTGTCTGGGGCAAGAAACTGTATGCAAGTGTTTGAGCTGAACTAGCCACATTTTTCATAGGGTGCTTTTTTCACTTTAAAGAACAACAGACAAACTACGGTTATTCACACTTGCTACGTGACAGAACTGTCAGTTAAAGGAAAACAAATAACCAGTATTTGCTCCAAATGATAAAATTCAAGTTTCATGCAAAAATTAGAACTTTGGAAAACATTTCTGCTACTGTAAACTTGACAGCTTACAATACTTAAAGATTTTGCAGGTGAGATCAGTGGTGCTATAAATAAATGTGATTTTTTGATATTGTATAATGAAATATGTCAACACTTGAATGATCTGCATAACTTAGTAAATAAATATTTTCCAAGTGACCAATGCATCATGATTTAAAATCACATGTGGATAAAAGATCCATTCAAAGTACAAGATAAAAATCAGTGAATTTTAATGTATAAATCTTAATGTAACAGAATGGTTTCAAATCCCATACTGCCAAGTAACCTTTAGGAAATTTCTACTTGTTGAGTTTTGATATAATGTCAAAGAAGAATATCCACAATTATCTGAAAAAGTCATTAAAATATTCCTCCCTTCTAACTACAAATCTAGACAGGGCTGGTTTTCTTCATACACTTCAACTAAAAAAATATATTGCAACAAACTGAATGCTGACAGATACAAAAACCTACCTGCCTTCTATTAAGTCGGACATTAAAAGAGATTTACAAAAATACAAAACAATTCCACTCTTATTAAATTCTTCCAGTTTTAGGAAACAGTTATTTCTCATGAAAAAATACTCTTTATACTAACATGTAATCAGGTTATCATTGTTAGTTCTGAGTG